GCAACTGCAAGGATACTCCACATTCTCTTCAATAAGATTTGGGATGAGGAACAAGTACCAACAGACTGGAAAGAAGGACTTCTAATCAAAATACCGAAGAAAGGCGATCTCAGCAAGTGTGATAACTACAGGGGCATCACTCTTCTCTCAATACCGGGAAAAGTCTTCAACAGGGTATTGTTAAACAGGATGAAGGACTGCGTAGACGCCCAACTTCGAGACCAACAGGCAGGATTCCGTAAGGATAGATCGTGTACAGACCAAATCGCAACTCTACGGATAATTGTGGAACAATCAATTGAATGGAATTCATCACTCTACATCAACTTCATTGACTACGAAAAGGCATTTGACAGCGTGGACAGAACAACACTATGGAAACTTCTTCGACACTACGGCGTGCCTCAGAAAATAGTCAATATCATACAGAACTCATATGATGGATTAAACTGCAAAATTGTGCATGGAGGACAGTTGACAAAGTCATTCGAAGTGAAGACCGGTGTTAGGCAAGGTTGCTTACTCTCACCCTTTCTCTTTCTCCTGGTGATCGACTGGATCATGAAGACGTCAACGTCGGAAGGGAAGCGCGGGATACAATGGACATATAAGATGCAGTTGGATGATCTAGACTTCGCAGACGATCTGGCCCTTCTATCCCAAACGCAACAGCAGATGCAGGAGAAGACAAACAGTGTGGCAGCAGCCTCAGCAGCAGTAGGTCTCAACATACACAAAGGGAAAAGCAGGATTCTCCGATACAAGACAGCATGCACCAATCCAATCACAATTGACGGAGAAGATTTGGAAGATGTTAAAACCTTTACATATTTGGGCAGCATCATTGATGAACAGGGTGGATCTGATGCAGATGTGAAGGCGCGGATCGGCAAAGCAAGAGCAGCATATTTACAACTGAGGAACATCTGGAACTCAAAGCAACTGTCAACCAACATCAAGGTCAGGATTTTCAATACAAATGTCAAGACAGTTCTACTGTATGGGGCAGAAACCTGGAGAACTACGAAAGCCATCATCCAGAAAATACAGGTGTTTATTAACAGTTGTTTACGCAAAATACTTCAGATCCATTGGCCGGACACTATTAGCAACAACGTACTGTGGGAGAGAACAAACCAGATCCCAGTGGAGGAAGAAATCAGGAAGAAGCGCTGGAAGTGGATAGGACACACATTGAGGAAAGCACCCAACTGCGTCACAAGACAAGCCCTCACATGGAATCCTGAAGGTCAAAGGAAAAGAGGAAGACCAAAGAACACATTACGCCGAGAATTGGAGATAGACATGAGAAAAATGAACAAGAATTGGATGGAACTAGAAAAGAAGGCCCAGGACAGAGTGGGTTGGAGAATGCTGGTCAGCGGCCTATGCTCCATTGGGAGTAACAGGCGTAAGTAAGTAAGTAAGTAAGTAAAACAGTCTTGGTGCGTAGTCATTAGTTAAATATAGTCACTTTTATTTCAGTTATGCCACAAATAACTACTGCCATCAAAATAGTTAGTTGGTCAAAACTTCAGTTACAAAGAATAACGTAAACTGTGAGGATACTTGTCAAATAAGTGAACCAGTATTGTGCAAAATTTCCCTAACTTTAGTTTAAAAACTTAAGGTAATATGAAAACCCCCACCTAAAAACACTCAGAGTGCAATCCTCTTCTAGTTACTCCTTAGTGTATTTACTTATCTATAAAGCATTGAGATGTGGCTTAAAGAAGAAAATAGAGTATTAACTTGTAAAATCTCCAATTACCTGTCAACAACACCGATACTGAATGGTGTAAGATCACCACCCAATAATACTAAAGGAAAACATTCTATGGATCCAAATCAGTTAGCATATATCATCATAAATTGTTGGGTGATGAAAAAAAAACAGAACAACAGCACACTGATACGTTACGCATAGGTAACAGAGATGTGTATAGTGTCAGTTATTATTTTAAACCCATATACCTTATTCTAGTTTTCGGACAAACCAATCTATTCATTCTACTTGAGTCATATGTTGACCTTGTTAGTTATTCGCTTACCAGTCTTCATTGTTTTTATATGAGCGCATATATGTGTACACTTCTTATCCCACGTCTCATCACATGTCTGTAGCTTATTTTTGTCTGCCTATAAATATTAATTAACGCCTGACTAAAAATGAGTTGGCTTACCAGCCATCTCCACTCTGCATCGCTTCTCTTCCTGCTGTTTCATTCACCTCGTATACAAAACACATATATTCAAAATCCCATTCTCGTTATTTGACTTATTTAATTCCGTTATTGACTAACGTGATTAAAGTCGACGATGATATACGAGAATAGGCGATAGCAAGCATCCATACGATCTAAATAGGAGTCAGATCCACGGGCCACTAAATGTGACAACTGAAATCCAACTTATGTGTACAAGAAAAAATTGTACTTTGCTCTAAATTGCCTCACTAACTTATTGCTACTCTTCGACTTATTTTCTAATAATTTCCTTTTAAGGAAAATAAGAACGCTAAATTTGTATTCATAATAAGAACGAATTATATGAAAATTTTATTTTATACCAATAATCTCTACAAAGATTCTCGTAAGCACTGGTTAGTTGTTTCATCGTAGTATGGAACTCATCAGAAATGAGCATCTAGGATCTTGATAAGAGAAATTGAATCCAGTATTTTAATTCTAGCGGCAAGAACTGAACTTTTAGACAGTGGCAAGCCCATTCAACTACTGTATTATTTATCTGTTCACTGTAATTCAGACACTTAATTCACTTATGTTAATTTCTCTGTGTGTATGATTGAGCGCGAGTCTGCACATCAACCTCAATCTATTCTCCTATTGGTTGTAACATGCAGATAATCAATAATTTATCCACACTTGATTAACACTCATAATTATATATTGATTTTTAGGTCACACACATACGCACACGCTCTTGGTTTCACAGTGTGCTTGCTCGCTGTACGCTTGCGGATTTTATTTATCTTTAACAATAAAATATCTCTACAACTGTTGTTCAGGCTTCTGAATAATCTCGAATAAATTCATAATCCTACTAGATGATTTAGCCTGCCTTAAATACTCAATTAACAGGATATCATTTATTGGAGTCAGATATAGAGGAAATTAGCCTCAACAAGACTACTGAGCCAGGATACAACGTTATACATATATATTCACTTAACATTTAAAGAAATAACAGTATTGCATTCAAAAAATTTATTTTAATTTCTCTCTCTCTCTCTCTCTCTGATTATGAGTCAAAATATGAAATGGCATCATTTGAAAAGAGAAAATGAGAAAGACAAAACAGAAAGGAAATACAAGCACAACAACAAAAAAGAGAAAAAAAAGAAGAAATTAAGACACAATAAATAAATATAAAGTACATTTAGTACATTTAGTATGATTCTCTATTCATTTATATTCACTAAATAAATAAAGATTTATGCATTTGTTTCATATAGATTAACTATAATCTTATCAACGGAATGATATTCAATGGTTATTTTCTATCATTTACTCATTTCTCTTTTCTTTTCTCTTTGTTTTTGTTTCTCTTTTAAATTATACTAAATGAAATGTTATCCATTTCAAGGATAACATTCTATAGATTAATCTATATAGTCAAACTGAATAATGACTATCATCATTTTAGTCAATTATATTACAGTTCATGAATGTATATTATCCAATGAAGTAAATAAGTATACAATGACTATTTATAGTGAAATGTCGTTTACTTTTGGTTGTTTTTTTTTGGTTTTTCTATCTACGAGAGAAATTTAGGAGAAAAAAAACAAACAAAACAAAGAGAAATGCTGAGCAGATAGTACAATAATGAAAGAATAATCATATCTTTACTTGTTCATATCATTGATTATAATAATATACCAGGTATCATTCTATGTAATAAACCTTTGAAATAAATGAGTGATATTTCAATGGATAGGTGTAAAATTTCTATGGATTATTCACATTTTTTTTCAATTAATATATGTAAACACTTTACTTGATGATCGAAATCTGAATGAAATAACGTCTAAATAATTTAAGTTTTTATGAAATGGAACAACAACAACAACAACAAAAAACGAAAGGGGGGAGTATGATGATGGTGACGGGTGAGAATCATGAAATCAATGATAAAAATCATCTCAATCAAATCAATATGTCATTATACAATTTCATAAAGAAATCCTATCGTATATTATTGTAATATTGAATGTTCTTACAATTGGTTACCATGGGTTTTCATTCTTCTATTCTTGTCAACAATAGGTAGTTATCAATTAAATTCATTGATATTTAATAAAGAATAAAGTAAGAAAATTCTTCTTCTAAAAGAGAAACAAATATTTCTGTACATTATTTAAAGTAAACATTTTTTTATTGTAAAACAAGTTGAAAAATGATATAATGTAAGGTATATGAAATGGTTCATGTGCATGAATGCATAAGTGGATACTTGTGTGTGTGTGTGTGTGTGCATGTGCTCATGTATGTGTGATAGACAAAAAGGCAATTCATGTGAATATATCAATTATTTATCAGATTATATCCCCAATATATAAATAAATTAAAAGCATCACAGATATGCTAATATTTATAATCTTATATTGTTCTTGTTGAAGGTTAATACAAACAGCTACATTTTTATTTGAATTGGAATCTTGAATTTTGTTTAAATCAGTTAAATTAGTTGTCATATTATTTTCTGTATTTTGTTTATTTGTCCATAATGAATTATTAAGATTCTGATGATAATTTGGATTCAATACACTATGATTACGTAATGATTTTTCATCAGATCCCATTATTGATATATTTAATCCTTGTGAATTCATATTCATAAAAGGGAACATTTGTGGATAATCAAGTTCACCTTTGGAATCATGAAAACCACTTTCATCATAATTTATTTCTAAATAATAATAGAATATGAAAATAAGATATCAGTAGTGGTTTTGTAAATATTATACTAATTTTAATAGTTGAGATCATAAGTCAATTGAAATTAGACCAATATGGAAAATCTAGAAGCACTAGACGGCCATTTCGTGCCATTGCGGGACTCCTCACAATCCCGCCTCTCGAGATTCGAACCCAAGATCTATCGATCTTGCGTGTGAACGCACAACCTCTAAACCTCTGAACCAACATCCAATAGTGTTAATGTCTAACTTCAACCGATCCATGAATGGCTGAACAACCACTGATCCATTGTCTGAGGTAGATATCTGTCTCTACTCGACACGGATTGAACTACACTGGTCATAGCTTCTCACTAGAACTTCATGAAATCATCTTAGAGCCAGTCACTAGTGAGAACATGTTGATTATTATCAGTATGGGGTTGCGGAGATTGTTAAATGTTTGATTGACATCGATTAAAGTTAGACTACCAGCCATCCAGTGCTTCCAGGTATTCAATGGTGATCTGATATCAATGGATTCATGATCTCAATAAAAAAGATATAATTGAAAACAATCTAACATCGAAACTTTCCAATAATTAATTTATGTTTTTGAGTTATCTCTCCTTAAAATTATCGACATCAAGATATTCCTTTCGAAGTCGATTAATTACCGTACATAGTTTTTTTCAATTATAATAATATAATAGGAAAGATGTGTGGACTAAATTTCAATCTCAACTTCCATAGTATGATTTACATTAATTCATTTTGGATAGTATTTATAAGATGAGATCATTTAAAATAATGAATAGTTATTACTTAGTAGGTTAAAATGGTCACTGATTATTGGAGATGTCATTTAATGTTGATTGAGTAATTTTTAGTAGAAATAACAAGTTTTAATGTCATAGTATACATCATAGACTATCCTTCTTTAGACGATCATTAAATAAACACCTTGCGCTGAACAACCGTTTTATCGTAGTACTCATCTAAGAGTTCACCAGGAATTAAATTCAAAACAAACAGGTTCTAAAGTGAGCGCTTAACCTTTAAATCACTGAAGAGTCCTATAATAGAATGAAACAGTTGTTTAATGCTTTCCAGTTTCTAATCGTTGTCTAATGCCAGTTCATAATGTAAACTACAATATTCAGCAATATCTGCAAACACCTCACAATGACGATCTGAATTACTTAATAAATAGTTCAAATAATTAAAAAAAATTTCTATCCAATGGGATCTGTTCGGTTTGAAGTAGGAAATTAGTTCGATCAATGGGGTTATTGATTACTTATTTGACGATAATAAAAAGTTTGAACTTCATCTAAATCTATACCTTCTTGAATTAAACTATTATCTACTGGTTTTCCATATGTATGTTCTTTAGTAGGTGAACTAATTGGAGTCCATGCATATAATGTCCAACCTGGAAAAAAACCAGAACCAAGATTTGAATTTCTATCTAACGGTCTTGTTTGTTGTTTCTTGTCAGGTGAATTCTGAAACAGAGAACGAAAGGGAGAGAGAAATATAGAACTACTTAATTCTTCTAAACTATAAACAATAATAAGTTTGTATGATTTAGAATTAAATAACTTGATTTTACGAAATCGAAATTAGACACAAGAACAAGAAGTATCTATAACAAATGTATAGAATGTGTAAAACAGACTCCAACAATTGAACAGACAAAGAGAACTCATAAAATTTGATTCAACTCCGAAAGATATCAGTACAACGTGCAATACGTAAGTATCTATACAAAAAGTTTTAAAAAACTTTGAGATCTAGCTAGACTGGAATTATATTACAGAGGCTGTTTGAAATTTATGTGAATTATTATTATTATTATTAGCTTTATTCAATATTATAATTTTGGTACAATATAGAATTCTCAGCGCAAAGTAATAATTAAAGAATGTCATGATAATAAAATTCTAAAGTTTGTTTCATGCAATAATGATAAAACTGATTTTTAATTAAAACTGGGAAGTCACTGGATAAAGGAAAAATGGAATGGTTTAAATTGTTATGGGACCCCATAAGATTATTTGATCACAGTGACAAACGATCCGACAAAATGTGGTTTAAAGCATATTAGTAATGTGAATATATCTTATGTATAAGTTTAAAGGCTGTTAACTTGAAACGGTTGTAGATAAACTCCGAAGAATCTGAAAAAAGCCCAATGTCTAGTGTCATCAACAAACTCATTTGAAAAAGGTTTAAACAAATTCCAGATGTCGATTTCCTTCATAACTTGTCTCTTCATACTAGAGAAATTTGACATGTTTTACATAACTCATAAAACACAAGGTAACCTGGTATTATATATCAGTATACGGTTGTGGAAGTTGTCGAGTTTAGACTGATATGATGAACGAACCAATGTTAGACCACCATTGAAAACCTAGAAGCGCTGGACAGCCGTTTCGTTCTAGTACGAGACTCCTCGGCAGAGCGCATCCACGATCCCTCGCCAGGGGCACTCGAACCCAGGACCTCATATAAACGATCTTCGATTTTCTTACCAGAACAATGGATAAATTTCAGTCACACCATTCTTTTTAATTATATTATGATAATTAAAGGTTTGTATGATGGTGAGAATCTGAAGGTCGGCTAAATTTTATTGATATATGCGTTTGATGCATAAAGCTTTCTTAAAATCAATGATGATTGCGATAAGCTTATTTGATTGTTCTGAATTAATTTCAACTGAATGAATCTGTTTTATTTGTTACTACAGAAGAGTTTGTGAATATCGTTAGATTTCACTGTTCACATAAGGAAATAATCTTAGTTATACAAGCGTTGAAAACTGCACTGATGAAGAGTTTAATTACAAGTCTAAACAGCTGTTCAGTGCTTCTTGGACGTCAACGGTTATCTAAATAACATTAGTTCATGATGCCGATTCATTTAAATGTATTATCTAATTAATTCAAAATAACGTATTCTTGATCAATCTTCTCTAAGATTGCCCACTCTAGACTTAGGTGTCAATATGTTTTACACAGGAGATTATGTTCGCACAATTAAAAATAAACTGGTAACTGTTCATTATCTAACCCTAGTTACTGAAATAAATTCGTAACTTAAACATGATTATGTCCAAAAATGAACTTTTGTTTTACTTTTTTCTTTGAATTTCCTTGATTTATAGTCATTCGTATTGGTTTCGAAGAGGAATCCGATGACGATGGATCATTATTTTTAGAATTCATGGGTATTTTACGTTGTATTTCTTCGTCTTCTTCTTCTTCTCCTACTCCTTGTGCATTCCAGTTTAGTATTGATCCATAAGCGAGCATACCTAAAGAATTGGTCATATCTGAATGTGAATTGGATGATGTTTTTCCAGTTTCATATTTTTCTGAAAATGAAATAATGAAGTCAACATTTGTAAATCACACAAATATATTTTAAAATAAATAAGTCGATACTTTCAAATGAAAAGAATAAACATCTATCCTGGAACACAGTTTGAAAAGAATTTTGTAGTCTTTTCTATATTATATAAGATGCTTATTGTTCTCGTTCACTTTTGTATGTGAAATTAGGTTACTTCAGTGGGTGAAAAAATTATTTTAGTATCAGAAGAGGTTTCGTGGAGATTGTAGTAATTTCAATAGTTAAGATCATGAGTCAATTGAAACTAGACCACCATGGAAAACCTGGAAGCATTGGACAGCCGTTTCATCCTATTGTGGGACTCCCCAGCAGTGCTCATCCACAATTCCTCCTCGCGAGATTCAAACACAGGACCTATCAGTTTTGTGCGTGAGCGCTTAACCACTAGACCACTAAGCCGGCATTCAACGGTGTCAAAGTCAACATATACTCACTAGTGACTGGCTTCAAGAGGTATATCCTGGAGTTCTAGTGAGAAGCAGTGACTAGTGGAGTTCAGTCGGGTGATTTGTGAGATAGTAACTCACTGATGACAATGGTGGATGTGTCGCTCAAAATTATTTTACTTATATTAACATGTAAAATCTACGATTTCTGATATCATATCTATTAACTATTCAGAAATAATAATAATAGGTTCAGACGTCATTTAGACTAGCCTATCACTTTTCAAAGTAACATATATCTTATTGGAGTAAATTATCTTTTTAGGTACTACATACTTCAGGTTTATTTTGAATAATTAGTTACCAAGAGTTTGATTTTGCTTCAGATTACTATTTAAAATATTGTACTATTGTCTTGTGTATTGTTTGTGCACAAAAATAATTGAATTGAATTGTCTATGATTCGATATAAAACTATAGATGACAATATTTGAGTAATTCCCTAGGATCCTAAAATTCACTTGTTTCTGGATGATACGTCAAAGTGTTTTGATGTATAGAAGCCTACATATATGTATGGTAAGTAGTTACTTACTGTCAACATGAGCCATTCTATATACATGATAATCATTTCATTGATTCGGAAAGTATTATCACCCTCCAGAGAGTTTGTTTGTTAAATATCGATAATCAGATGGGTTCATAGCTCATGTGGATGACTTTTAGTAGATTTTCGTTCACTTAGCTTGACAGTTTCATCATCGAGCTCATATTGTTCTTCTGAATGAAGTTACCAGCCTAAAATTTTGGTAGAAATGAATTATTCGGATCTCGCGACACATGATTGAGTGTTTGGTCAACAAACTTCAGTCTTGATTGTTGACCTTTATTCTGTCATCAAATGCACATTTATATTGATTGTCTTTCCCTTTGACCTTATCCTTGATTCGAAATTTTTCCACAATATTTCCAATTAGTTGGTAAATGCGATCTAATTTTCAGTGCTCTCATTGATTATTGATTGACCTAACTGTCAAGCTTCTCCCTGTTTTACTTCTAGCTAAAATCACATCATTTTCCTTGTTAATTATCAACATACATTAGTTTAAGCAAAGATATATTGTAGTGTTTAACAGAAAGTTGATATTTATGCAGATGAAGAGGAAAAGGGAGTTCACCTTGTCTGATATAGTGATTCTTGCAGATGGGACAGTTTATTTTGTAGATGACGTTGGTTTTTATTCTCTGTCATTTCATCTTTCATGAGTATAAAGTTGTGGAGATTGTTGAGTTTATTTAAAATCACAAACTGTTCTAATTTAGATAATCACTGAAAACCTGAAAACACCGGACGATCGTTTAGTTCCAGGTTTTAATGGTGGTCTAACTAAAATTGGTTCATGATTCTAGTGGGATTTTAGCCTTACTTCGCGCAAGATTAACTGAAGCGATTTAACTGGTTTATGTGTTACACTTATTCCAAACGGCCTCAATAATCTTGTTGTAGTTTCTGATATGTCCTTTACATATATTATGATGATCCATTCGTTGATTTCCATATTTGATTTTCTTTTCGGTTGATGAGTTTGATTGATGTTCTTCAACGAATTTCGGTGGATACCTCTTCTTCTGAAAAATAATTATTAAATATTTCTCTTCATATTTTGGTGTGGTAAGTGTGCTGGATTATGTTTTTTGCTCTTTTGTATAAGGTTTGTACTCATTTGATTTTGCTAGTTCCTGGGTTGTTCACAAGTTAAATGAGAACGTGGTCCGTGTGAATTGGCTCTCTATACATCTGACTCCTCTATCTTCTTATATTGGTTAAGGTGGTCAGCACATCCGAGAATAGTATTTTGTTGTTCGGTCCGTTTTCTATTGTGAAACATATGTTATTGAGGACATTGCTGATCAGAATGCATACATTTTCCAGAACATACCGATGATGACGAATGACCTCCGCATAATGAACCTACATTTTTGGTATGATCACTGATTCTTATTAGTGATCATATCGAGCCATACAATCCTTGCATCACTCCTTCTGAGATAAGTTCACATTAACAATCGTCAAATAGGTATTCCTTTCGTCTGTTTGTGGTTGTTGTTCGTGAATTAAAAGCATGTTATTTGGCATAAACAGGTAAGTTCAAATATACTTTAACTTTAAAGTCTTATGTGAATTGGAAGATTCGTTTCACTTGTGGCTAGGCCAAAGATAAAGGATTTTTTTTAACTTCGGTTCAGTCAAGGAGACTAAGATTGTTGATCTTGATATTATTAGGAATTTCTAGATTTCTTGTCATGTTATTCATAAAATTAAAGAATGGTGTGTTATTCTATTAGAGTGGCTAAATAACTTGGAGATGATTTTATACTTCTATATCACTTTTTTGTACTTTAAGGCATCCGTCATCTGTCAATACTATGTTGTTTACCACATAGTTCACAGTTCTACTGAATTTAGTAAACAGTTTGAAAATGTTGTATCATACGCATCTTTTGCAAAGATTAGCAAAATTTGCAATGGTTTCGTGAGTTTCTTAATCAACATCAAAATTTACTGTTGCTACCTCGAGGCTGATCATGAGGAGTCCCTGAAAATGTATGTGTAAATGATATATGGATCAAATCGAACAGAACTTAATTTAATACCTCCAGGTTTTTGAGATGTTGAAATTCGTGCCCATGATTCCGGTGGTGTATTTCCTTTAGATTTACCACTTCCATTTGAAGTAGACTTGGCATTTAATGAATTATAATAGTTCGTTTCAGCTAACAAAGACTTCACGGACCATTCCAAATCTCTAGATGCTCTTACTAGAATTTCATTGGCACGTCGAAAAGCTAATTCCTTCTACAGTTAGATTATAACAAAAAAGATAAAGTGGAGAAAGTAACTGCAATTAACTTGAATACAAAATATTCATTCTTATTTGACGGAGAAAATGCAGGAAAATCACATTCATATTTAATTGAACCATAATTTTCATTTCTCAAGTTTGCAAGTGGTACATCATAACACAATGATTAAGTTACAATGTAGATCACAATAGATATTCTTGTTTTACAGTAAACCTACACTGAAAATATCCTACAGCTTTGATCAACTAAACACTATTTCATGTAATAAATGCATTTTTACGATCACTGTTAAAAATCGAATATCTAAAAATTTACCTTGCACTAGATATCCAAGCTAACAAAAAATGAAGGATTGTGTTATAAAGATTGTTAAGTTTTGATGAAGATCATGAATCGAATAATGTTAGACCACCATTGAAAACCTGAAAGCACTGAACGGCCATTTCGTCCTAGTATCAGAATCCCTAGCAGAGCACATCTACGATCCTGTACGCGAGATCCAAACCCACGATCTTCGGTCTCGCGCGCGAACGCTCAACCTATAAACCTCTGAACCGGCATCCAATAGTGTTAATGTCTAACTTCCATCGATATATGAATGGCTGCGCAACCATTCATTCATTGTCTGAGGTAGATAGCTGCCTGAAGTAACCAGTGGAGTCCAATCCGTGTCGGATCCCAAGTGCGAGATCGTGGGTGCGCACTGCTGAGGAGTCCCATGCCAGGACGAAGCGGTCATCCAATGCTTCCAGGTTCTCAACGGTGGTCTAACACCAATCGATTCATGATCTCAATCAAAAATGAAGTACACTGCACATGTAATACATCTGGTCTGCAGAATAACCTCTGATTTGAGAACATTTAATTAAAAGTATTTTCTATGAATATATACAAAACTACAAGTTATCTTACCAGATATTTGCAACTTTTGACAAGATAATAATTTAATATTTCTATTTCTTTGACTTTTAACTACTTTATCTTAATAAGTAGCAATAAATATTTCAGAAAGTTTTGAATGTATAAGTATCTTGTTAATCGTGAAGTATTTCTGAAAGCATTTAGAGACAAGTGCAACCATAAAGAAGTTCAAATTTACAAGGAGATGGGTTTTAATCGTGTAACGAAGTTTTCCAACTACAGTGGTGACCATAAATTAACATTTAGTAACATTTTGGTTGATAGAAGAAATCATAGGGTTAACAGATATTTTTATATTTTGAAAAATCACTTCGCTCAAAGATAAATGCAATGACGATTCCTGATCACGAAAGTGATGGTAACAAGAAATTTACTAATCATGGATTGTTATTTTAATTTGGAAGCCGAAGAGATTAAGATATATTCACTTATTGTGCTTTATCATAACGAAAAGGCACATCGTTACTCTAATACACATTAATATTTATATGGATACGTGAAAATATCAAACCAGTATCATTTCGCTGCCATTTTTTCCAAGTTTTTTTGACCTACTTTCTGTTATAAAACCTTGATTCGGTTTTTTTTAATCAATTCTGTTACGTCTAGTACACCTATCATCATATTATCAGTTTGTACTTTTTACTAATAATGTGTGGTTATGTAAATTGCCTTGATCGATTTAACTATTTTTCATATATGCATTGAAATATTACAGTATATTAGTGCAAAACTTGATCAGGATCTAATTGAAAACAATACTGTACACTTATACACGTTGTTTTAATTTGCATTTTAGGAATTTTTATTATTTTAAAATCGTTTGTTCGTTCATTTTATTATTAGGATCAGTTACAGTGATCGGTTACGAAGACAATACTTTCCACAGTTATAGACAAACGTATACTGAAAATAAAATTATGTTAATACGGAAATGTTTACACTTTACATATTTTCTTCATAGTTTAAACTACGAACTGATGTTTTCTAGATCACCACTGAAAAACAGAAAGCACTACAGAGATGCCTCGCTCTAGTATAGGATTTTTCAACAGTGGGAATCAATAACCAGACTATATAAAATCGAACCCAGGACCTTCGGACTTCGAGGTGAACGCTTAGTCTTCATACCACGACCAAAACGTAATGGTCTAAGTGCTTAACTTTAATCAGTTCACTACATAATGCAACCATGTTCAAACGTTACTAATGGCTGAGTGCCTCATCAAAAGTTCTGGAATTACGTCCTAAAATTAATCACTAGTGTAGACACTATATTATTATTGCAGGAGGTTTATGGATAAAATTCAACGTAATAAAAACCAATAAACAGTTTGCGTTGATTTCATAAATAGTTCATTGTTGAAGAAAACTCTGAAACATCACAGTTTACAGTCATACTAAAACTTATTTTATATAGTTTCATTTCAAAGTCTAAAATCAAATTGTTGCTTATTTAATACTAGTTCACTCCAAACTGTAATTAACTTACATCATGTTGTAATGGAGAATTCCATGATGGATTATTCAATAAATAGTTAGTTGATGCAATTGAAGCTGATAATAGATCATCTGTTTCACTGACACTTGATTGTTGTTGTACATCATTCGTTGGTATAAATGATGTTCGTTGTTTTCGACTTGGTGATAACTTCTCATTATAATTTTCATTTTGTGAACTTGTAACAATAGTTTCTTGTAATTTTTGTTCATGTTGACAAAATGTACATTCCTCTTCATTAAAACTGCCAAAAAATATTTTTAAATGTGACATAAAAACAAACTGTACAATTTAAGTAGTATTTGAGATTTTGGAGAAATTCTGGATCCCAGTGCTAGGCACTACCCATCTTTGCTTATAATGCTTATGAATTGAGGCAATAACTAGGTAATACGCACAGTATGTACATATGCTAGTAAGCGACTGATCGCTTTCAGTCCTAAACATTAATGCGAAGATTCAGGTTAACAATAACTCCACCCCGTTTAACATACAAGTGGCTATTAGGAGTCAGTAGCTAAGTAGGTAACGCGATGATGTTTGAAGCGAACGGTACTGGGTTTGAGTCTCAGAGTGAACATCAACTCTGAGATGCAGATACATCCAGTTGACTAGTTCCAAATAAGACGAAACGCGCATCCTGGATTTCAGTGCTAGTCGCTGCCCATCTTTGCTTGGAGTACTAGGTAAGTGATCTTATAACATATCAATTTTTATATTTCTCAACGTACATTTAACCTTTAACAACTAGGTTAGGATTCTATGGTACACATTACTAACTTCAGTCCATATGTCATATTGAGTAACCATTATTATACTGGCTATACTATTAAATTAGAGTCGAAGCTTTTGACTGAAACGTTAATAAATAGTGGTTCATTGAAGTTCATAAACCGCTGGAAGGGTTGTAATCCCATTAGACCTATGACGCTTCTGGCACCCATAAAGCGAGTTTACATTATGTTACCATTCAGAGGTGACTCAAACAGTTTCATTTTGAAACAGAGACTTAAATTATCTATCAACAGGACATTTTATGCAGCCCAACTTGTCATTAATGAAAAGACAAGGTCTGTGTTTCACTTATTGTGTCTACCAATTTACATGTATGTGCGGAAACATGTACATAGGGAGGAGCAATTGCGGTCTGCAATTAACGGTGGCGGAACATATACTCAAATGGCTACAGGAACAAATCGATTCCAATGGTCAAATAAAATCACACGATAGACAGACACCTTCCTCCATTGCGAAACAATTAGTCGAGACTGTTCATAAAGTTGATATCAAGTCATCATATGTAGTGTTGTTTAGCCGCCCGTTGATCTGACTCCATTTAGAGCGTACGAATGATTGTTGTCACCTATTCTCGTATATCATCGTCGACTTAGATCGCGTTATCCAATAACGGAATCAAATAAGTCGAATAACGAGAATTGATTTGTGAATACATATATTTTGTATATGAAGTGAATGAAACAGAGCCAAGCAAAATGACGCACAGGGAGGATGGCTGGGAAGCCAACTCCATTTTAGTCAAGTGTTATTCCATATTTATAGTCAGGCAAAATAAGCTACAGACATGCAATGAGTCATGGGATATGATGTGCACACACATATACGCTCATATAAAAACAGTGAAGACTAATAAGCAAATAATTGACAAGGTCAAAGTATGACTCAAGTAGAATGAATAGAATGGAATGTCCGAAAACTAGAATAAGATATATTATGGGCTAAAACTAATGTCTAACACTACAGTTGTACATAAACCTTCAAGGATGTATACTAAGGTTTATTGAAGCCTTGACTATACGGAAACTAAAACCCCCTATATGTGTCCAAAACAATTTGTTCTTACCGTTAACCTACCCTGGTAATAGTGATTTATTATCCAGAGTAGTTATCACATTGTTTTTGTGTACTTTAATATTTTTTTCTTTGTTATGGCTTACATTAACCTATCTAGTTGACCTTTTAATTTTCATATAAAAACGTTCGAATATGTATATGTGTGTGGTCAGATTGTTCGAAATGTATTACACAAATATATCACGTAATTCTGATAACTTACGTCTTCTGACTGTACTATCGAAATTTATCAAATGGACTAAATGTTTTAAATCATATTTAGGTTAAATAAAGTGAGATTAAATAATAATCATCATTAAACCAATTATTAAATAAATTACGAATGGAATGAAAACATTGAGCTATTCATTTGTAATTTACCAGATTGTTTCAAGGAAAACTAACTCTTACAGAATAATAATATTATCAGAAGGGGATTTTGTGGAGAATTTAGTAATTTTATACTTGTATTTATGAGTCAATAAAAGCTAGATCGTGAGTCAGTTGAAGCTAGACCACCATTGAAAACCTGGAAGCACTGGACGGCCGTTTCGTCCTGATATGGGACTCCTCAGCAGTGCGCATCCACGATCCCGCACCACGCGGGGCTCGAACCCCAGGACCTACTGGCTCAGTGGTCTAGTGGTTAAGTGCTCGCGCGCGAAGCCAGTAGGTCCTGGGTTCGAGCCCCGGGTGGTGCGGGGTCGTGGATGCGCACTGCTGAGGAGTCCCATATCAGGACGAAACGGCCGTCCAGTGCTTCCAGGTTTTCAATGGTGGTCTAGCTTCAACTGACTCATGATTTCAACCTGTGAAATTTCTAAAACTCTCCACAAAACCCATTCTGAAATGCTAGATCATCATGAAAAAACCTGAAAGCACTGGACAGCCGTTTCAACCTACTGTGGGACACCCCAGCAGTGCGCATCCACGATTCCGCTCGAAAGATTTGAACTGAGGGCCTTCAGTTTTGAATTGTCAAAGAATTTTGCCTGAAAGTAACTTTTTAAAATTTCTATTTCTTAACTAGAAGTTTACCATTTAAAACCTACTGATGTTTCTTTAAATCACCCTTCACAGTTTTATATTGATATGATTAAAAAATGATATTGCCTTTCTTAAAACTAATAATAATTTCAAGTATTTCGTTGGTCTTTAGATCTCTGAGCTAAATGGTTTAATTGAAGGGGTTCTTCTTGAAATATGCTCTGAAGATGTTGTCCAAAATGACAATGAAAGTTCTACAATTAAATCATCTAGCTCAGAGAGCTCAGCATTCTTAAAATATCCACGTAAGCTGCAAATATTTTTTATCATTTCAGACGTTTCAAGTATAACTAACATTGACACTAATAACCAGGAAAACTGAGAGATTTCACTTCTGATTATTCTTCAATACAAGTTATGGCAAAATTACATGATATGTGGTGTACAGTGAACACGATAAAAGTAGTTTTACAGCTTGTGTAAAAAGATTCACAAATAATAATATTATTGCTGAACAGAGGATTTCGATTCCAATTTATATGCTTAATTTCGAGGAGGTTACAACTATTTATAAAATCTGTACCTTGAAATAGTTGTTCCATTCCAGCATTGATCCCGTCTTCCATTGAGTAAAGCAAGATAAGGTGATTCTAAGCACAATGCTGTACTTGAACGTGACCATATGTTTGTGATTTCATCCATCTGGAAGGTTAAAATTACATCAAATTAATAACTGATATGAAGAAATCGCTGAATGTTTAGTCAACTAAATAATGACTTTTATTTACTTCCTAAGAGTGATTCTAAGCAATTATTAAACTTAATTTAAACTACTCTTTAGAATTACTTTCCGATTGCTTTACTAGACATTACAGAGTATTCAGGTACTTGTGATAGATCCTTGGAAAAGACGTATATTCTAGTTCATCTATCCTAAAGAGCTTGTGACTTAAGGCTATATTGAGGCAGTCCGAACAGGATGCACATATGCCAACATAAGACTGATCAATTGAAGTCCTAAATAACGATGGGAAGATACAAGTAAAACAACACCAAGTGAATTCATCTATTCTAAAGTTTAAAAACGTACGATGAGGCTCTCATATGAATTATATAACGATGATGGAAGATGATGTGATACAAATAAAAATGGCATGTAAAATGTTTCGTTTAAAAAATACTGTTTCATGAAGCTTATTTTTGAACAAATCTAATGGACAGGATCGTTTTTCTAATGTATTAGTTACTGAGTGACGGATTCGATGTTTGCCTTATCCTTTAGTGTCGATCGAATTCTACTGGTCAAGTTGCAATGTAGCTAGGTGGCTGAACATAGCGTGAACCATGTCAGGTTGTTAGATGGCTAAAAATCGTCAACAGAAAACCCTGAATCTAGCTTTCGCTGATTACCAAGTCTTGCCTGGAACTTTGCCTTTTAACTCCAACCACCTAGTATCTTAATGTGCTGTACACAATGTCGAGTTACTCAGACTAATGACTGAATTGTAACTTGATTGATTGAATCCGATTAGAAGTAAGGGAATAGATATGATACTAGTCACTACTCAATTAATGATCAATTGTATACATTTCATTCCTACAGTAGGTTAGCTATTGTCTCAGTGGTAACATCTCAGACTATGAACCAGGTGATCATCATTAAAAACCTTGTTTCTGTGCATGCATTCTTTGGATTATACTAAGTTAAACGACTATTTAATTGGGATTTATTATTAGTATATTATGTACTTCCGTTGTGAATTATTTACAGTGTAGTGAACGAGAACACAAATGGGGACAATCGAATGTATTTGAATACAGAACTTCTTAGTAGAACCTGAGAACCATACAGTAAATACTTTATTTGTAAAATGTTAATCAATCTTCTCAGACTTCATTGTTCTTTCGTTTCCATACCGATCTTTTCTTCCATTTTCTTAACCATCTGTCACCATGCATTTCACTTTCGATTGATGATACATACTACTTATATCTGTGGACATCAGTAGCACACACCATAACAGCAACTAAACATATGACACTAAATAAAGGGTTTAAAATGGTTATGGTTTTCCTGCTTTTCTGTAGTCGTTTCTAATAAATTGGAACATTGGACATAATTTATTAAATTGATATTTCTCTTTATTTGACTTAAATACAACCATTTTATCATTTCTAGGCTTCCTTAAAACGCACAGATTTTGTTTAGTAAGTAAAAATTTCATTGCTTACTGAGTGTTTTTATGTGTATCAGTTGTCAATATCATTGCCTCAAAAATGCCCTGGTACGACTGAGAGTGCGGAGAGTTAACTCTTCCTCTCAAAATGCTTTCAAATGGTCACTCGTATATAGCCACTGCCAAGGAAGCCCTACTCATTACTTTCTCGTGACATTACTGTTGTTTACGAAATCGAGAGGACGAAAAGGTATTGTCTGGCGCTTTAACTGGGTTGGTCGGTGGATATGGAGGATCGGCCTAGAGGAGTTGGAAAACCCTGATTCCAAACCAATGGTGCACATGGGCTCTAGGATCCTGAGGGGAGAAATGGAGTATAAACCAATCGTTGGTCACTGGCTACCATGGGACTGCATCTCCTGACGTTTTTCCATTGTCTTGTGGGTCAGACCTTGAAGTCGAAGGCTCCGGGTTTGGTTCCCTAAGAAAACTAGCTGCTTCGGTGTATGCACGCAGGTAGTATCACCGTCCACACACATATAAGTGACGTGTGTGGTGCATATGTGTTCGGTGCCCCTTTGTACCAATATTTACGTGTTCAAATAAATAAGTAAACGAAATATTGACTTATTCATTTTAGAAACTAATTAGGTCATTATTTGATGTTGAGATTTATTCCAACATTGTTTTTTAGGTATCATACACTTTGCTAATGGTAATTAAATAATTATACGCGAAGCAAATCTATTCAATGAGCGTAGTAAAATGTTTGAATGTTGTGAGAAGAAGATGCAAGAAGAAATGATTGATGGTGTAAGCTACTTTTTGAAATATTAATACACTTGATGTTTAGTAAGTAATTACTAACATTTGGTTTATGTGACTTCTTTGATTTCTTCAGGTATAAACTTCTGATTAACCTGTAAACTACTGTTATATCTTTTTCGGTTTTAAATTTGTTTTAATTTAAACACGAGCCTTGTTTTCTATTTGTCTACCCTAAATGCCCTATTTGGGCGGATATTATATGCTTGAGTTCATTATACGTTGTGATTTACTTTGTCGCATATTTAATTGTGCATCTTTTTGAGTTGGATTAAAATTCGAATATAAAGATTTTTACTTTATCTGTCTTTTATCTTCTCTCGCCAATAAATCAATATCCGCTTAGTAAATGATTAGTCAATGAATAGTACAGTTCTCTGCCCGTAAGCCTGAATGGTCACAATTTAACTCTCATTTGTGGTTTAAAGATTACATTTAGTAGCCTGGGATGCCAGGTCTGAATTAAATTTTTTGCATATCCAATTACAGAATCACTCGGTATATCAAAAGTCATATTACAGTGTGTACAACTGATGTCGATAGATATAAGTAGTATGTATCACCAATCGAGAGTGGAATACCTGGTGACAGAAAGTTGAGAAAATCGACAAGAAGAGAACGAGAACAGAGAGTAATTGGTATGGAAACGAATGAAAAACAATTGATGGATATTTTGCAAATGAAGTATTTACTGTAACTCCAGCTGGAGCCACTCTAGGGCTACTGCTGGTCCCAAGCCCAGATAAAGGGGGAGGGTTGGGCATAAGGTTAGCGACCTCATCCCATAGAAAACTAACTCGCTAAAAATATATAAGACCTATTTACTGTATAGTTCTCAGATTATACTATAACATTCTGTAATATCATATTGAAATACATTTGATTGTCTTTAACTTTGTTCTCATTCATTACAATATCATTGAGATACATACTGATTAGATGTTCTAATTTACAAAATGTATAATTTTCATTATTTCAAAAGTTGTATAAATTGAATTGATTTACTTACAGTTGTTTTCATTTGTTCAAATATCTTTTTATGTTGTTTTAAACGTTTTGTATTATTACTCTTTAATGGTTGAAATATAGCTTTGGAATTATTTTTAAGTTGATCAAATACATTGTATAATCTTTTTATCCCAGAACATTGAGGTTGTAACTTGTGTAATGAGAAAAGAAAAAGGTTGGCACATAAGATGTGATAGCAGTCAAAACAAAATGACAAATGAATGTTTTCAAAGTTTATGAGATTTAACTAGGCTTATTTTTTTGCAAAAGATTGTTTTCGTCACAAATCGATATCAGACATTGAGCTATTGAGAACTTGAAGGTATTTGGCAACTGATTCATTATGGCCTAGGACCATATGAAAGTGCATATACATGAACTAGTTTAAAATCTAAAATTAGACTTTTTAGGTCTTGTTGTCAACACATTACTTTTAGATCATCAAGCGAAGATCCAATCATCACTATTTATAAATCCAGTCTTGTTAAATTAACGACTATCCACTGCCATGAGTTATATCTCTCACAATCATGACATGGCTGACTGATCTATGTAGACCAACAATTACTTTTCACTAGAAGTTGGGGAATCCATACCATTGACATTCCTCGATGACGAACACATAAAGTTCAATTAGGTCATGAACTACGAATGAAATCGATTTAGTCACAATTAGATTACTACTTGAGTGCTCTGAGTTAATGATATTCGCATGTCAAAGTTAGACGGCTGAAAAGTGTGTGTATCGGGTTTGGAAATTCTAAATGAGGTTGCTTCCAGAGAGAATACTTAAAAGTAGAGTTAATTATTATTAAGACAGATATTAAATTTCCTTGATTGTGTCAATCCTAGTTGAATAGAAATTTTAGTAATAACATCTGACTAAAACGAGAAAATCGGATCAAATTATAAACCTTTCGTGCATAACTGAAATCAGAAGAAGGCAAATAAGGTACATGATTATAATATTATAATTTGAAGCGATGACAGATATGATGAACTCAGTAAAAATGATCATAACACTTAGTCACGACAAATAATGATCTAATGAAGTAGAAGGATGTCGACTCAGTGGTCTAGAGACCAGGCGTTGGATAGCGCGACCAATAGTTCGATTCTCTATAGTAGTAGGGTTGCGCATGCAATCTGCTGATTCTCGTGCTTGAAAGAAATAGCTATCCAGAACTTCCAGATGTTTCATAGTTGTTTAACTAAGATCAGTTCATTAAAGTAACCATGAAAATGGTAAGAATTATGTGAGCGGAGATTTCAGCAGTTTATTAATTTTAATAGTTTTCACCATTTGAATTGATTGTGAAGAATCCAAATGTTAATATAGCTGGGAAAATTTGACGTTGTTGATCAAATACTGTTCAATTTCGTGGATAGATACTAACAATTATCACCCCTAAATGAGATGAAACAGTTATCAATTACTATTTGATTTTTGATGACTTATTAACTGATATAAGTCAACGATGAAAAAACTATCTCCGAATAAACCAACTATAATACAGAATTTCAGTTGTAGAACATTTCGGTTGAACTTAGATAACAGTAGCTCGACATTCGTAATACAAGTTTCTATCTCACTGACTTTTGCCAGTGTCAAAACAAGAAATGGTAGAGTGCAAAGTTTGAAGAAAACAATTTCAATTATTGCTGAGTATTAGTATGAATGATGAACAACAGAACAATGCTCACCACTACTACACAAACAAAGCACTAGAGCCCATACAGTATTCAGAAAACATGCAAACTTGATTAACTATATTCAAGCATGATATAAATCATTAGCATTATCTCAAACTTAGTGGATGTCTCATACGTAAGATACTGAATGTCCGTTGACTGGATACCATCAGCAACAACCTACAGTGAGAGAGAACAAAACAACTTCCGGCTGAGGAGGAAATTAGGAAAAGACATTGGAAATGGATAAGACACACATTGAGGAGATCGTCAATCTGCATCACAAGGCAAGAGCTAACTTGGAATCCTGAAGGTAAACGAAAAAGAGGAAGGCCGAAGAACACACTACGTCGAGAATCAGAAGAAGACATGAAAAGGATGAATAGCAACTGGAAAAGATTACTCAGTACAAAGTTGGATGGAGAGTGTTGGTATGCCGCATTTGCTTCTCCACGAGGGATAACAGGCGTAAGTAAGTGTATTTCTCATATACAAGACCAATGCCAAATCATAGTCAATAAATACATACACATTTATTTTGTTAATCGGTTATATTCAATTGAACGGAACATTTCATTTTCCATAAAATGTAATATATAGTACAACTGACAAAGCAGAAAACCTGGAATTGTTCATAGCCAACTTATGTCACTATACTAGCGTTACTTCATAATTGAAAAGGATAGACTCATTCTCTAGAAATTCACTACATATAACAAATACTAAGTTTAATTATACAGTGAAATAATACTTTATATACATTCATTATTAAACTAATATGTTGACTTAGATGAATACATGCCATATTTACAACTAAATTGATCTGGAAACAAAAAACGCAATCATCTCTTACCCAGTTGTGATAGGTATGCAATAATTGATGATAATAATTTACAAGATGTTCTGGAAAATCATCCAATTGACTTTCTAATCTTAATTGTGGTTTCTCTAAAAATATATCTGCCACACTTTTGATAGTTTCTACAATAAAAATAACAACAAATGATGATACAATGAACCCTTTTTTAATTCAGTAGGAGAGAATCTTTATTGAATATTGAAATTTTCTTTGGTAACTTACTGGGTACCAATGAAAAGTTTGAATCATTCGATTAGGAAATCGATCATTTTTAATTCCGTCTAACTGTAAAACTCTATAATATTGGAATAATGCAATAGTATGGACATGGGGAATCTGATATTTTGATAAAGAGAGATATCCCACTATTCTTTACTTTCCTTGCTCTCAGGTTTTCTCATTTCTTTTATATGTTTCTCATGCAAATATAGTTTTTTTTTCAGTTAGACTAGAATCAAATAACGCTCGCTTACTCGCTTACGATTTCCTAATTGTCTACGAGTTAGTCTTCTTAGAGTAAAATATCAAAAGCCGAATAGTTATTTAGTATCATCTGAGAAGAATTTAAACTGCTGTTATATCCGTACGAAGAATAAATGATTAGTAACATACAGAAATCCAAATTGCTATGTCCTAGGCCCGTCAAATATCATGTGACAAAACTGTTACTCAGAATGCTGACTGCTACGACCTTTAAACTGGTATTCATTCCGTAATCGTTTTTAGAATGTTTGAGACTTGTTGTTATTATTATAACTATTATTCTAGTTAACCATTGTCCAAACATACCCTAGGTCCTTTAACAAGAAGCGTTTGTCTACTTAAAATTTATAAGTAGTTAAGAAACCTTATGTAAAAGGACATGAATTTTAACAAAGGTGTAGTGATGTTAGTTTAATTCTTTAATTCACAACGAAAATTAATTCAAGATGTGAGTACGTGAAGACTAAGAACTGCATTATTTCTCTACAGTGAACATGAACTTAAGAGAAGGAATTTCTTTTCAACGAACTTATTTTCAAGCTGTACAATCGTATATATATGAATACATTTTGTTAAATTATTAGTTCTGTGTAGACAAATGAACAGGGAATAAATATGGTGATTTATTAGAAAGATTATAACATTAGGTTACGTAATATAGATAATAACAATAAGAGATTCCGTATGTGCGAATAGAAAGACTTGTCAAATTAATAAGTTAGCAACGGATTGTTGTGTGAATGAAGTAAGGTAATTAAAATATGTTTGTTACAATAATTAAAGGTAATAGAGGAGTAAAAATGTAATGGAGTGATAACAGAAGCAATTATGAGGATATGAAATATAATTAAGAAGAGAGAGGGGGGTATATTTAGGTACAAAATGAAGCACTGATGATGATAATAATAATAGTTGAAGGCCAAGGTAACGATAACGATGAGGTGCACTTCTTTTGTACAAACAGTTCTAGCCTTAAATCATGGATGGCAAAGAGCTTCTGCCATTTTAAAGAGTTGAATAACAAGAAACCTAGGTGGATTTAGATGAATTTTGTAAACATTCTTAAAACCAACCTGTGGATCGATAGAGTGATTACAGTCGATTAGATGTTCAAGAATGAAACTTCTTTCCTCTCATCCTTGTAGAGCCACACTGTGACTTTTTCTCGTATCTGAGCTGAACGCAAGCACTGACTATAGCTTATGTACCATGCTCATAAGAGCAAATGAACCAATAGATGCACGTGGAGGCGAACAGACTGGGATATCTATCCTCTACGGATAGAGAAAACAGGTTCTTACTAGTGAACGTTATTCTAAGCTTTGCTGCATAAAACACTGAAAAGAGATCTCTTCGCTGAACCTCCTGTTTTTAATGTTTAGATGGGAATTATATGCCAATATGTCTAAATATTTACCGAAGCCAGTGAAACACAGTTATTCAGCGTTTCAAAAATGCAAAAGAAAAACTGAATCTTGTCAAATCCATGAAATTCTTTTTTGTAGTAAAACTTTAGAAATAGTATATAGCTCACCAAAAATAAAATGTCTCTGATTATGACAGTGACTGCTATGGAAGATATAATTTGGCTCAATATTTCTGGTGCACCCAGTTGAAACTTAGTTATAAGCCCAACTATCAACTATTTACGTTGATCATTATCATTCTCTGTTTTTAATTACCTAATACCATTTTATAATCAATGTGACATTATGTAATTATTACGTAACACTACTGCTCAATAAGTATTATTTAACTGTTGAGGAGAAGAACTAATACTGTGGATGATTTCAATCAGGTGAATCATAGGCAATATAGAACTTGGGCAAATATATCCATCGATTCAAGTTACCCATAAGAGATTTTCACCGAAAGATGAAATTATAAAGAGTAATACCAGATTGGTGGGAATGATAACAGTGACAACAATATCTGTGAGTGTAGAGCGATGATGAAAAACTAATTGAAAAGAAATGTTTTCGTTCCATTCGTTCCTTCTGTTAAATGTCATAATGGAAATTTCCACAACATCAGACAATGTACCAGAATGTTAGAGAACTGGACCTAGTAACCATATTCTGTTCTAATCAATATAGTTTATTTCGAATTAACAGCTGAGATTAATTATTGATTGGTGATTTATTACTGTAATTCATTCGGAAAAAACGTTTTTTGATCTTCAACTTTCTGGCTAGAAAATTCTGTCAATGAAAGTAATGATTACGCAATAGGATTCGGTTGCCTTACCAGTTCATTATATATCTTCTCTTAAGGAACATTTCAACTTGGCACTTAATTACGATATCACAGAATATTTTGTTAAGTAGGTTTTGAGCATTTAATTAGTGTGGAAAAAGTTTCAGTTAAAATCTAAAATCAGTAAGAGAACTAATTCAAACCCAATAAGAACTGGAAAGCTTTTTCATCCTAGTTAGGGATCTTCTAGGAAGCCAGACATGATCAACTTCAAACATTTCATTAATGTCCAAGTGACAAAATTTGAGTTTAATATAAACATTGTAAGTGTGGTAAAAATAACACAACTGAACTTTAAACTACTCAGGTTATTTTCAGCAATGAACAGCTATTTCTGATTGCATTATTTACAAGGTGTAAAAAGTACAAAAACAATCTTTAAATTCACTTGGTTTTGTTCGCTTGTATCTTCTCATTGTTGTTAAGGACTGCAATCGATCAGTCTCTTGTCGGTATATTTGCATCCTGTTAGAATTGCCTCGATATTGCCTTAAGTCATAAGCTTCTCAGGCAAAGTCCCGGAGTGAAAATCGACATTGGGATGTAGATACATCCAGCTGACTAATCCCAAATAGGACGGAACGCTCATCCTGGATTTCATTGCTAACCACTATTCATCTTTGCTTTATCGTTTTTCATTAATTATTTGTCAGTTTATTATTCAAACATACACACAAGGTCATGTTTGGGATTAACCTTTTTTTTACTGACTGGTATACACTTTGGCACCATTGAAACATTGAATGATTTCCGTATAAGACAGTGATTATATTTTGATTAGTCACTAGTGAATGTTTTAATTAGTAATCATCTTAGCAATCAGTAACAACAAGGTAACTTATCAAATATAGAATATTGTTTTCAGGTCAAATGTATTACAAGAAATACAATATTGTTTCAAAGAAGATTAAGCTCTATTGATAGATTAGGAAAACAAAAATAAAACATGCATTTTTTTATATCTGAATAATAACAAGTTGCTTTCTAATGAGAGATAGTTATGTAAAATTCAAATAGTTTTTGATTGAAACAGTTTCACAGAAATAATTAGAGTGTTTGATGGTATCTCTATATTATAATAGAAAAGTACAGGTTTATTACCATTGTACTAGTAATAAATCTATATGTGGAAAATTAACCAATTCAGAAGTGAGATAGTAACCTATTAATAACATGAAATCAAAATATTATGTTTAAATGATATTAGATTCCAACTGAGTTACTCTTAAATATATAGCAGTAACGTAATGATTCATAGGTTTTAAGGTCATACCGGATAAATATGGTCATTGTTGATGATTCTCAAGTTAAAAGGAAAATATTACTGTGAATTCATTATTATTTCAGTAGTTGAACTGTAGACAAACTATGAGTCTTAAAGTGAACATAAACTCTGGGATGCAGGCACATCCAGCTGACGAGAACCAAATAGGACGAAACGCGCGTCATGGATTACACTGCTAGCCACTATCAATCTTTGCTTAAAAAGCTTGTGACGTAAAGCTATATCGAGGCAATCCTCACAGGATGCAAATATACCAACATGAGACTGATCAATGGCAGTCCTAAATAACAATGGGAAGATTCAAGTAAAACAACACCAAGTGAATTTAAACTTCACTCCATTGCACAAGCAGGTGTCTATCGGGGCTCAGTAGTTAAGTAGATAACGCGATAGCGTTTGAAGAGAACGGTACTGTGTTGGAGTCCCGGAGTGTACATCAACTCTGTGATGCAGTCAAATCCAGTTAACGAGTCCCGAATAGAACGAAACGCGCATTTTGGATTCCACTACCAGCCATCATTCATCTTTGCTTAAAAGCAGTATTGTTCGAAATATAATTACTTGATATTTTAACTTTAGAAGGTTCATGCGACTGGTGTATAACAGGCCTTTTAATTGTGAAGAATTGGTATCTGTTACATTGTGTTTTGATTTATGTACATTGCCATGAGTTAATAAACTTATTGGCATTCATCTTGAGAAATAAGTGAGTCAATAATTGAATACATTACCAATAAAAAACTCTATAATTATTAAGAAGGCATTCAGTTATCCAGCTGTTGATATTCAAGATTGAAACAGTACAAATGACATGAAATACTCATCCTAGCCACCATTCAACTCACCTTATAACTTCCAATATCTAATTCGATATGAATAGTCTTATAGTACTAATAGATCTAGAATCACATTATGAGGGGTCAATTCCTTAAAATTTTAGATAAGCCCTTTTGATAGTCATCAACTAAAATGTATTTAACTAACTATCTAATAAATTTGTGATTACATTGTAAATGATTCATAAATATAAAATAAACTCATCTTACCTGTGAAACGATACCATTGTGGATTAAGTTGACTAAGTGGTCTTAAACAATCTAATAAAATTTTTAAACATAATTCAGGACATGGTCTTGTTAAAGTTTCACCAGCGCATAATGCACAATAATGCATACGCATTAATTTTCGCATACATGTACCTTGAGCAATATTGAACTAAAATTATAAGGGAAATAAATTCATTAATATAGTATTCATTTTAATTATAAGGCATACATTGTTAGTAATATGTATATACTGATATCGATAGATATAAATAGTATATATCATCAATCGAAAGTGAAAAACCTGGTAGCAGACAGTTAAGAAGATCAAAGAAAACAGAACGAGAACAGAGAATGATAAATGTGAAAACAAAGGAACAATGAAGTCTGAGACGATTAACTGAAAGTTTACAAATGAAGTATTTAGTGTATGGTTCTCAAATTTTGCTAAGACGTTCTGTAATTTTATATTCAAATACATTTGGTTCTCCACACTATTGTTCTCATTCATTACAATACCTCTAGAGAATAATTCTCTACAAATTTAGATTCGAATCATAACTTAATCATTTTATTGAATAGGCCCTAGTATTGATAACTCCAGATTATAGATGAAATTACAACTAATCATATATATTAAAATGATTCACTACTTGAGAAAGCTTGGTAACGTTCATTACTGCAAGTGGAAAGGATATCTTTCATAGACCCAAGTTACATCCTCTTCAATCAATCAATATATATATATATATATATTGATATTTACAGATTTCAAATTCGAATACTATAACTGTTAATCTATAGTGTTTATACGAACTAAAATTTTGAGATTTACCCCCCCCCTCCCACCAAACACACACACACCAAAAAACAACGTGAAGATATTACATAATTTATGACTAGTAACAAATCTAGGATAGTTAAACTTACAGGTTACAATAATCAAGCATAATGTAAACCATAGTGATGTGTAAATTTTGTTTGTTTGTTTGTTGTTGTTGTTAGTTTGTTTATACGAGTTGTTTCATTTAAAGACACAATACATAATAATACTTAATATATATGAACGACTAATTTGTGCATAGAACAGATGGTAACTAGACAATTTTACCTGTTATCTCTACTAATTAAAATAGTATTTTCATATTGAAAACATTGGGCAACATTTATTATTATTAAAATGATGTAATCTTTAATAACTGCACTCGTAAAAAGACAAGATTACATAAAGCAGATTTGTAAGATAACCATAGAAGGTGATATCTTAGTGAATATCTCAATTAGAGAGATTAGGATAATAATTAAATTTCGTTTAAAGAATAAATCACTCATTGATCTTGGATAACTAATGAATATCAAGAAACAACAGATAGTTGTTTCATTCTAATATGAAACTCTTCAGTAGTTTGCATCCATGACGCTAACAGGGTCTGACTCAATACCTTAGATCTGATAAAGCCATTAATTAATAATAATAATACACGGGGGCGTAGCTTCTGAATAACTAAGTATTTATCTAGTGCTTTACATTTCTAACCTCAATGAAATTTCACTTAGATGAGAAATATAATTGAAAAGTAAAGTGTTTTTAGGTAAGAGACTAAAATATTCACTTTAGTCTATCAATAATTAAATTGTTACCAGAAGGGGTTTCTGTGGATATTATAGTAATTTTAATAGTTGAGATCATGAGTCAACTGAAACTAGACCACCAGGGAAAACCTAGAAGCCCTGACAGGCCGTTTCGTCTTATTGTGGGACTCTTCAAGAAACAGCGACCAGTGGAGTTCAACCGGGTCTGTAGTGAGATAGTGACTCACTGATGACAATGGTGGATGTGCCGCTCAATTTCGTGGATTCTTTTGTGTGGACTTAATTTCATATAGTTGGGAAGTTTCAGACCAGAATAAAACAATGGTTCTTCTGCTGATGTAAGTCAATTACGAAAAATATACTCAAATACAATCATAATGAAGAGTGAATTGTAATTCCTAGAATGAATATAAAGAAGTAAATTTTTTTATTCATCATAGTGATACATCATGGTTTGACTTAATAAACTTGAAAATCAATTGTTTCCTGGTTTAATAATCTTATTTTGAAATGTGTCAGTGACTCCCAATACTATTAGCAAATCAAACAGATTAACTTTTTTGACACCTTAATTCATATACCACTAACGTGGATGACAGCACTAAATATTTTAACAGTGTAGGGTTGTGTGGATTGTTAAGTTTTGATTGAAATCATGAACTAATCAATGTTAGACCATCATTGCAAACCTGCAAGCACTGGACGGTCGTTTTGTTCCAGTGTGAGACTCCTCAGCAGCGCGCCGCCACGACCCGACACATAGGATTCGAACCCAAAACATTCGGTCTCGCTCGTGAACGCTTAGAGTTGTAGGGATTTCTAAGTTTTGATTGAGGTCATGAACCGATTAGTGTTAGAGCACCTCCGGAAGCCTGCAAGCTCTGGATGGCCGTTTTATCCTTGTGTGAGGCTCCTAAGCAGTGCACATCCACGACCCAACACACAGGATTTCAACCCTAGAACTTTGGTTCCGCTCGCGAACGCTTAACTTCTAGACCTCTAATCCAGAATCCTACAGTGTTAATGTCTAACTTCAACCATTCCACGATGTTGCGCAACCATGTTGCATTGTCTTCGGTAGGTAACTGCCTAACACGTGACACGGACCAGCTCCACTAGTCACGGCTTCTCACTGCTGAAGAGTCTTATACTAGAACCGAACGGTTGTCTAGTGCTTTCAGATTTTCAATGATAGTCTAACATTGATCGGTTCAACTCAATAATCTCCACAATACCATACTGAATATTATCAAATTCGAATGGACAACTGAAAAATCACACCACTGTAGTTATAATTATACATTTATCATAATTATACATCTAATATCAAATATCTTCTTATGTCGGTTATTTCATTTATTTAATTTTTAGTAGTTCTCATTATCTTGTTGTTGATATTTTGATGGAATTTTGATCATGTTTAGATGGCATATGTGCGTACTGTGTGGATTACCTTGATATAGCCATGATGTCATTAGTTTATATATAATAGATGAAACGTGGCTAGGATACTGATTCAAGACTGTATTTCAAGGCAATCCACACAAGACACACATATACCAAATAAGACCAATGAGAATTCCGTAAAATTATCAACAGCAGGATAATCCTAACTATTACACATTAAAATGAAATTCATACACGAATGGCATAGAGCACAAGTTCTGTATTCCTCTACTAATCTCATTCCATCTATTCTATGACAGTTTTATTATTTTATATATTTCTTTGATGTTACATTTTAAAAATTTTCGGCAAGACGATCATTTATGGACAAACCAATTAGATATAAGATAACAGATCTCGGATTTTGGGGCGAAATTCATCCATCCATTTGGTCACTTAGAGTTTTGGCATTATAACTGATATCAATTCATGATGAAAACCCTAAATCTAATTCCTAACCATAATCATCAACTATAAATCATAATTCTAATTCCTCACACTAGTTTATAACCCTTATTTGATCCTAGTTATTAGATGGACACTTTCAAGGTCAATTTACTGTCGTTCAAAGGTTGTTCATCAATGTTAGTTTCATCAAAATGTCTTTCTGTAGAAAAATTATTCACTGTAAAGAACTAACAAACCCTCACCATATTTCACTTGACTTAATTTATTTCCACATTTTACTATTATTATTGAAACATCTGTCTATAAAAATTCACTTCTATTCTACAATTGCTATTTTTATTTTCAATGTATTTTATCATATAAGGAAAGATAATTTTTTATTGTGGAATGAAAAGAAAAAAAAGAAAAGAAAAGAAAACGATATTTGTGCAATACATATGTGTTGTTATCGTTGTTGCTATCGTCGTTGTTGTTGTTGTTGTCTAGTTCAATGTTGATTTATGATTACATTTATTCCATTTCAATGGGAATTATATTTTGGCAATCACTCTTATGAATCTTAACCAAGAATGAGGTCATCGCACACACACACACACACACTGTTGAAATATATATGTATTCTTGGGACTGCTTTAAAAGAAATCATAAATGAATTTTATCATTTCTTTCTTATTTCATAACGGTACTTTATAATTTGCCATTTATTATTTTGATTTCATAATGAAGATGATAGGCTTGTTTAATTATAGAAATCTTATAATGATTGAATTTATTTTCATTGTTATCTTAGGAGTTTTTATATTCAAGATAACAAATTATTATACATTATTTATAGATCAGCTTATATTCTCTAGGTTTTGAAATATTTTAAACCTTATTTAAGAATTGTGAAAAAATCGATACTTGTCGTTTTCGTCCTAGTATGAGACTCATCAACAGTGAGTATCTATGATCACTAATCTAGGAATTAAATCCATGATCATTGGTCTATCGGTTAACTTCTAAACCAATGAAACAATAATCAATTGTCAACCATGTCCGATGTAAAATAGTTATCGAACTCAGGCAATGAATGAGCACTGTGTAAAATTATGAGTTGATTGAAGTTAGACAATTGTACACTACTAAGTATTAATTTAGTGGTTTATAGGTTAGGTTTTCGTACACGAGACTGTAGTTACTAGTTCCGATTTCCGGATATAAAGTTATGGAATATACACTTTTGATGAGCCCTATGCTGAAGCGAAAAATTTATCCAGACATTCGTATGTTTCAATAATTGTATAGCTAAAATCAGTTAGTGATTTAAATTAAGAAGATATAAAATCGATCTAACAAACAGATATACTATAATCAGAGAAGGGCTTTTGTAGATATTATGGAGATTTAGTTGAATTCATGAGTCAATTGAAGCTAGACCACCATGGAAAACTTGGAAACACTGAACGGCCTTTTCATCCACTGCTTCCAAGTTTTCCATGGTGGTCTAGCTTCAATTGACTCATGAATTCAACTATTAAATAGATATATACGTATTTAATCACACCATATTGTTTACTTTCTAAACAAATAAATATTTCTATTACAAAGCCTTATAATGTATTTCCAAAGTTAGTTCGTATCAATTAACTTTTATTCTTAAAAAAGTAATGGAAACCTGAGTTGATATTTACCAAATATTCAGTTTAATGGTTAATAAGCATGACGGTAATTAACTACTAAGTGGCATAATTAATACATATGTATATATTATTTATAGGTTATTAAAAGTGATACTCTACATTTTACTAAGTGTATTGACCTATACTAATTAACAGTTTATATTCAATTAAGTAATCAGTACTGATTTACGATGAGTAAATTATGTAAGTAAGTATATATGAATAAAGGTTATTTTAATGTTAAAGATAATATTTATTCAAGACTAACGTTAACTCCAAAACCAAAAAGTTGCTACCTTGTCTCACTGAAATTTCCTAGTAGCACGAAACACAGATCTTGGGTTTTATGCTGACAGCAAAATATAGTACACGTGATGTCGACTCATTGAGAATAGTGGGCACACAGAAACTTTATTGATAATGTTTGATCAGTACAAATGACTAGACAAACATGACGTTAGTCACCACACAGTGTAATGTCAATGTAAACAGTATTATCTTTATTATGGAATTATATGTCGTTTCATAGAATGTGAACGTAGAACTTGAGGCTTTAGTTCCAAAACTATTTGATGTTTTAAATTAGATATTGTTCAATGATATCGAATCGTAGCTCAACATAATCTACATAACTGGTAAAGTGTGGAAGGTCTAATAATGTCCTAGGTACTCGAACTAGTTGCCACTTAGACTTTATCTCAACCACAATCTTTAATCCTCTGTTCACAGGCGTTTATATTCTGTGCGTTGTACACTGGATCTAATTATTGTGCTAGATGGCAATTGTCCGAAAGGTGGATCTAGGTTATTTCAAAAACCAATATTCAACACTAAGTTATTTGGCCTCCAACTGACCGTTACGTTCATTCCTATTGCAACCTAACTGATAGAATTCGAACGGCTTTAAGGACGAAATTATTATACTTGGTTACTTCTTAGCTGTCTCTCATTTAATATTACCAAAACAAAATTCACGGTATGAGATTGTTTACATCACAAATGGTAAGAAGCCCTGACTTGCGAAGTTCAACCATACTGGATCTCAAGAAGGTATTTACTGAAGAGAATGGAGAATAGCCACGCAATATCACGAACTGATTAAAGTTACACTTGTACATCGATAGACCACGGTTCAATGGTTCACTGGTTGCGTTAGCGCACGAAACCTGAGTGTTGTGTAACGTGTATTCATGCCACCGGAGAGTCCCCCACAAAGATAAAATGGTCGTCTAGTACTTCCAGGTTTTTAATAGCTATATAACTTGGATCAGTTCATGATATCGATGAAAATCAGTATCATCCGATCGCTTTAATTTAAAAAAAATCATTGTCAGTTCTTGCCATATTAATTGCACTTCGTTTTGTTTACGTTTTATAAAAACGTTTCATTTTAACATACTACAATTAAACATTTTTAAGAATTTAAATATTATTGATTCTATTGAAGCTAGACCACCATGGAAAACCTGAAAGTACTGAACGGCAGTTTCGTCCTAGTATTGGGCGGTGCGTCAATTTCGTGGATTGGTTGAAGTTAGACATTAACACCGTTGAATATCGGCTCATTGGTCTGACGGTTAAGCGTTCACGCGCGAGACTGATAGGCCCTGGGTTCGAATCTTCTGGGGGAGCGAGATCGTGGATGTGCACTTCTGAGGAGTCCCATACTAGGATGAAACGGCCGCTCAGTACTTCCACGTTTTTCATGCTGGTCTAACTTCAATGGACTCATGAATTTAACTATAAAATTACCAAAATCTCCACAAAAACCTTTCTGATAATTTAAATATTGTTATTGTTAAGTCATTATACAACAAAAACAATATCAAACAAACTATTCATTAGTTTATTTTCATTCTTAACATTCATTAATGAAAAAGCCCCTGATTTTTATTTTCTTACCATAAAGTGAAAAAAAAGATGAAAAGAAACTTAACAGTGGATTACACATTACTATTATTATTATTACTCAGATATCCAGTTCTCTGGAGGGAATTCAACATTCAATTGCTTATTTATCTGTCTATCATTCAATCAATCCATTCAATTGACTGTCTGACTTATCTTAATCATAAATAAAAATACAGATTTCTCTATTTAAACTTGAATCACTATCGAAATGATGTTCTTTAAACATAAATAAATAAATAAATAAACAACTACATATTCACAATAATCGAAACATAAACAACAAGTTAACTAGTGAATTAAAACAAAAATAAACAAAATTCGGTAAGATTATTTAAACATACATACTATTTGTTTAACCTAGACACTAATAAACATAAAAGGGGATCATTCAAAATACACAATAGTAATGATAATAACAGTATGAAATACATTTAGACAAGTATTCCTATTTGAAAATAAATAAGAAAGTAAACAAAATACAAAAAAAAAGACAAAGAAATAAACAAGTAAACAAATAATAGAAGAACTAAACAAAAAGAAACTGAATGAAGTAATAACACAATCAAGGGTTAAATAGATAACAATAATTTTAGTATTCATAGTAAATACAACAGAATGAACATTAAATTCAACTTGACCCTAACTTCAATGATAAATGTATGAATAGAGAATTGGGGATTACTTTTATTATTTCATCTACTTTCAATATCTATGAGTATTATTGATATCATTCACATAAGGTTCATTTTAGTATTGACATATATCAGAAGGGGTTTTGTGGATATTATAGTAATTTTAATAGTTAAGATAATGGATATATTGAAGCTAGACCATGATGGAATGTCTGGAGGCACTGGACGACAGTTTCGTCCTACTGTTGGAATCATCAGCAGTGCACATCCACGATTTCGCCTCACGAGATTCCAACCAACAACCTATCGGTCTCCACTGTGCCGGCATCTAACGATGTTAATGTCTAGCTTCAACTAATCCACGAAATTGAGCGACACATCCAACATTATCATCAGTGAGTTACGATCTCACAACTCACCCGGTTGAACTCTACTACTCAATGCTTCCCACTATAACTCCAGATAAATACCTCTCGGATACCGTCACTAATGAGCATATATTCAATAATATCAGATATAATTTATTAGTTTGAATATATACATTATTCTTTTTATTTAAAATGTGACGAAACAAAACTAAGACGGCGGATAGCTGTTCTTATCAGCTTAAGACAATATAAAGATTTTCGATTTCTGAATAACCATTTATACATGATGAAATATTTGTGATAGTCATTACGGCGGTAGTATAAGAGTGAAATATAAATTTGGGTGACTTGTTCATTGAATTGTTACCATTTCTTTTCGAGATTTAGATACGATGCCACATGTTTGTAATCCCCCTATACGTCCAATAAACAGAAATCATTTGTAAGATGAATTAACATGTTGAATTCACCTTATATCCCTTGATGAGTACAGAAAACCACGAAAAACTATGTTATGTAGTAAATTGTAGACTACGTCTGACTATCCAATTTTCAAATTCGATCTTTTAGAAGTAGAATAAACGCTGTATAAATTTTTTTCTTTATTGATATTAATAGAATTCTGTGGAAGTTGATCGTTATTATCGAAGAGAAATTATGTGATAGTATTTTTTATATCGGTAATCCTGGTGACTTATTCGATAACTTAAAAGCTTCTTAAATAGAAATTCTTTATCAAATGAATTATCATAGCGTAAAGCAGGAAAAGTGTATTGGTTGGAAAGCATAACATAATGATACTGAATATCTTTGATTTCCTTTGTCTAGGTCACATTAGTAGTCTACACAATCAGTAAGAAATGGATTAATGTTTCAAACAATATAAATTATAAGCAGAGATGGATAGTGGCTAGCAGAACACTCGTCAACTGGATGTATCCGCATCCGAGATTTATTGATCACTCCATCATTCGAACCTGATATTGTTCACTTAGAATGTCAGCGCGTTACCCACTTAGCTACAAACAGGTAGTATTGCGCATCCTGGATTCCACTATTAGCCACCAACTATCTTTGTCTATATAATGTTTGTAACTTAATATCGAAACAATCCGTACAGGGTGCACATATATCAACAACAGACTGACCAATTACAATCCTGAACATCGATGGGAAGATTCAAACAAACAATACAAAATACATTTCATGCAGATTGTGACTCAAAAACAATTGAAACGTGGACAAAATGTTTGTTCAGTGATTATTTCTATCCAAGAAGACACCATTTAAGAATAACATTTTTATAAAGAAATAAAAAAACACAACTTTTCAAAACTTACATTTTTCAATCCATCAATTAATGATTCACCTAATTCTAATGATTGAATTAATTTACGATTTAATCTGAATGTAAATACTAATTCAGGTTTATATAACATTCGATATTGTTCAGCTTCAATAAGAAAATTATTCATTTGATTTATATCATTATCATCAGTATTATGAATATTGATGTTATTTGATGATTTTACATTTCTACTTTTTGTTATTCGCCTTTCTTCATGTTTCATTGGATTATTTTCATGATTCCTTAATCGGTATAATGAATGACGATTTAATTTATTGACAAATAAATTTCTTGATTTTCTAGTTAAAGATGGTAAATCTGAATGACCAGTTAATGAATCGAAGATTAAATTTAATCGTGCTTGACAATATTCATGACACCTAAATTAAAGTAAAATAAAGATAAGTATTAAATGATTGAAAAGATTTGTAATATAGGTGAATGCTTTTAACGGTATTTTCTTCGTATCCAACTCTTAAAAATAGCCGAAGCTCTTACCGTCCAGGAGCTTAAACCAGAACTATGCGTACAAAAGAAGTACGTCTTATCGTTATCGTTACCTTGGACTTAATTATTTCGATTATCCTATTATTATTATTATTATTATTATTATTATTATTATTATTACTGCATTCCCCCTTTACTTATGTCTTATATTCTCATTATTTTATTTTATTCGTAAATGCTCATCATATCACCTTATTTATTTCTACACCCCTATGACCTTTAATTATTATAACGAAAACATTTTAATTATCTTATTATATTCACTAAATCTATTGTTATCATTCGTATTACATAATCTAGTATTATAATCTTTCTATTACGTCATCTTGGTTAACTGTGTTCACATTTCCTCACGGAATTACTATTTTTTCATATATATACGATTGTACCGTTTGATAATAAATTCGTTGAAAAGAGATCCCTTCGCTGAACTTTGTGTTTTAATTTTAAAATCTAATACTGTATGTAGAACAAATTACATTAACTGAAGATTTTATTCGGAATGACAAAAAAACGGCTTCAAAATTAAACTGTTTAGCTTAAATATCATAACACTCTCACAAAAATATAAAATCTTTCAGTTATAGCATTATCTTCAGGACTTGTATTTCTAAAAAACAGATGGCTCGTTGTCCTTAAACAAAAATTAGTGTTTAATACAGATAACGAACCGATTCATGTTTGACTACCATTGAAAACCTGCAGGAACTTGACGACCGTTTTGTTGTAGTACGAGATTCCCCAACAGTGTGCATCCATGATCACTCATACGAGATTCGAACCCATGACCTTCAGTCTCACGCGTGAACGCATAACCTCTAGACCAATGAGCCGGCATCCATTAGTACCATTAAATTCCAGCTTTATGATCCAGAGGTTGGGCATTCGCGCGTGAGACCGAATCCTGTTTTCAAGATCATGGATATGTGCTGTTGAGTCCCACACTAACACGAAACGGTCATTCAGTACTTTCAGGTTTTGAACAGTTGTTTAACAATGATCGGTTCATGATCTCAATCAAAACTTAATCTCCACAACCTACTTGTATCGTTTTATTGTATCCTGATGGTTTTAGATTTTATATGGATATTTCTTTAAATGACAGTGTTACTCAACTATCGAATTAATTTTCTAAAAATAGTATACTTTACTTTTTGAGGGTAGACTTGTACTGCATGTACATTACAATAAAAAAAATCTATTTTTACGTGATAGTTACGTTTATATAAACAGTAGAATTGAGTATTTTCAAGACTTACTTCATACGAAGGAAGGTTAAAACACACAGACAAACTATACAGTCTAATTGATTAACCACAAAATATATGTCACATTCTTAAATTATCTTTAATAATTTAGATCATTCGATTAACTTCATTTCCTAATAGCATGATCATATACAAAACAATCAATCTACGCACTTTTGGCTTAAATAGTATTATATTGAGTCAAACAGTAGTTAAAAATGCCAATTCATTTATATTTAAATAGTCCAATATTCATCCTGTTGGCTCAGAATATTGAAATTAAAATCAAATATAGTTAGACTGAGATACTTTTCAGTAAATTGGAATATAACAAAACTTCAATCATCAATTCGTTTTAGTAAAACAATATTTAGATACGTCTGTTCTACTAATTGGAAAGTGGTTAACAGAAATATTACTTTCAATTACATTCAATACATAAACAGAAACTATTTGATCTTCCGTGAATCTGTATGCTTCTATGAAACACGTATTTTTTTATGAAGGAAGAATGAAGGATGAATATCATTCATCTAGGCATTCAGTAAAGTTAGGATGTTCATTCAATCATGACATATTAATAACTAAAATGATAGGTCAACTCCGCCTGGAGCCCATTTGGAGCTACTGCCGATCCTAAGCCCGGATAAAGGGGAAGGTTGTGTACGGGGTTAGTGATTCCATCCCGTAGAAAGCTAACTAGCTAAAAAACGCTAATCAGAAAAAAATTATTCAAAACTATTAACTTGAAAGGTTGTTATAATTATCACCTGCGCTATTCTAAACATGAAAATTGATGTTATTCTATGAAAAACACGAACAAACAAAAAGAAACCGAATAATATTATAAAGAATTTGCATCTGACTGACTTGTATAAAATAAGCTGAGGAAGAAAGGCATTTTTTAGATTAGATTACTATCTGCTATGCGTTTGATTACTAAATAGATCCGATTTGTTCTCAATAGACAATTTTAGTAAAGGTAAACTTGGAGGTGAATAAAAATTAAATTGCATTTGTTATTTTTCAAAAAAAGGGACTGACATTAAAGTAATATGCAACTGGTGCTTTAACCAGGTTGGTGAACACGGAGAGTCCACTTAGGAGAGCTGGAAAACCTTGGTTCAAAACAAATGGTGCACTTGGGCTCCAGGATCCCGAAGGAAATAAATGAAGTATGAACCAATCGTTAGTCATTGGCTACTATGTGGTACTGCACCACCTGACGTTGCTCCGGTTGTGACCCCCTGAGAAAATCATCAGCTTCAGTTTTGCAACCCGGACAGTATCTCAGCTCTCATACAAATTGAATGATTTATGTGGAGCATATCTGTCTGGTGCCTCCTTGTATCAGTGTTTATGTGTCTAAACAAATAGTAAATTATTATAACTATATATTGTATAATCTGGAAGTTGGTTTACTGTCCTAATTACAGACATCACTATGTAATACTCATTTGATCTTTTTGTTTTTTTATTTTTTATGAATCAACACAGTTTTTAGGTTCATACAAAATGTTTATCAGATCAAATTAATAGAGTTTTATAAACTTTATTTCCTTTTATATTTGCAGACTATCATAATTTATCTAAAAATCTTTTTTAAAGTATTTATAATTAACTACTTAGAAAATAATTATTAATGTATTGTTGGAATATGTTTTGAAATTTATCACCGGTCTATCTGCCGCTAAATTATAAGTGATTTTAAGGTATATATATACATAGAAACTCATCATTAATATTTAAATGAGCAATACAGAAGAAACTACTAGGTACAGTAAATTCACTTGGTATTGTTTGCTGGTATTTTCTCATTGTTCTTAAGTACTGAAATTGATCAGTTTTCTGTTGGCATATGTACATTCTGTGCGGATTGCCTCAATATTGACTTAAGTCTCAAGCATTATAAACAAAGATGGATAGTGGCTAGCAGTGGAATCCAGGTCGCACGTTTCGTTCTATTTGGTACTCGTCAGCTGGATGTACCTGCATTGCGAACTTGATGTTCAGTAGCTAAGTAGATGACACAATAGCATTTTAAGCGAAAAGTACTGGGTTCGAGTCCCCAGTGAACATCAAATCTGAGATGCAGGTACCTCCAGCTGGAGAGCCTCAAATAAGACGAAACGCGCTTCCTGGATTCCAGTGCTAGCCATCATCCATCTTTGCTTATGGTGCCTGTGAATTAAGGCAATATCGAGGCAATACGCACAGGATGCACATATGCCAACAAGAGACTGATCAATTGAAGTCCTATACAACAATGAAATGATACAAGCAAACAGTACTGAAAGAATTTGAAATTCACCCCATTGTACAAGCAGGTGGCTATCAGGACTCTGTAGATAAGTGTATAATGCGATGGTGTTCCAAGGTGACTATCAACTCTGGGATGCAGGTAAATCCTGCTTGACAAGTCCCAAAATAGAATGAAACGCACGTCTTGTATTCCACTGCTAGCCACTATCCATCTTTGTTTATAATGCTTGAGACTTAAGTCAATATTGAGGCAATCCGCACAGAATGTACATATGCCAACAGAAAACTGATCAATTTCAGTACTTAAGAACAATGAGAAAATACCAGCAAACAATGCCAAGTACAGTATTCATACTTTAATGTTGGTTAGGTAAAAATTAATAAATTAATAAAATGCTGATTGGACATGATTCAAGTTCAGTTGATATGAAGAATAATGAACTAATTGACCGAAGTACGATTGCAAGCAATCATCCACGACAGTTAATCACTTTTAATTGTCATATCATTTAGTCAACTAGTTATTTCCAATGGTTATAAATACCTAATTGTATGATATTGTAAATGTGCTCACATAGTTAATTATTGATTTGTTGATGTTATATACTACTCAGTTCAGTTTACACAAATCTGAAAATAAATAAATAATATGAAGATCAGTATACTTATGCATCATATGATTCATTCTGGGTGTTAAATAAATCCAAATCAACAGTCTTTGTATTTTCATTACACATAATTAGATTTGGGACTCCAGTTTCAACTACAAGTCAGTTAAGCAAAGATTATATTTTATAAGTCATCGTTAGCTTTGTAAAATTTGTTTAGAATCGATACATACGCTAGATGAATCTTTTAGCTATCCGCTAGGTTACAGATGGTTTTATTCACTAGTAAGATTTATTCTGTAGCTACAGTTTACATAGTAACAGGTTGTGTATGATTTAAATAGAAATTCAATCTTATTAACATGACAAATAGATTACGACAAAGTACTAGTAAGAATTTGTATTTTCCCGTTGTTGACATTAAAGAATGGGACTGGTCAGACCCTAGTGATACAGATGAATTCAAACGTATAAAATAGGAACATTTCTGTTATCTTGACGACTTTATGTTTTCAGAGTTAAGCAATTCAGATAGTCATTACGACATAATTACGGATTGAGATCACTTTTGTCGAAGAACCTAAACTATTAAAAATTATGTCAAGGTTATGTCAAGAACTCTGACAAAGTCTGTGGGATGAAGGAATCACATTATAAAGGTGAACAAGAACGTAGTCTACTATCAAGTTATACTGTATACAATTTGACGTTTGACGCCTGAGGGTTTATAGGAGTAATGAAGAAGGTACCAGTTAC